TCAATAAGAGATGTTCCCTGACAGCTCCCAAAGGCTGCTGGAGTGCCTGCAAAGAACTGCTGACCACCAAAGGGCCTCTGACGGCTCTCACCGCACTTGGCTTTTAGCTCTCTGGAACTCTCCTGTGTACAGTCCAGATCACAATAACTGAATTAGTACCTCCACTTCCTCAGCTGAATAAGCCCAAAATGTAGGGGAAATATTGGAAAGCTGATATAAGATGTACTGGTATTGAAATGGTTTAATTTATACAATTAAAATGTGCCCCTGTAAAGCTTCCGAGCCTCCTGAAGATCTGACTTCAGGATACAGTTTTCAGGGAAAACATCACTTTTTACTGCGTGGTTGGTGGCATCATGAATGCAGTGGTGGTATGGATCAGAAAACAAGCAGAGCTTTAGGATCTGCATCAAAGAGGTTTAAGGTAAGTCTCGAATTGTAGAGTTTAACCATGCTCTCAAGAGTTTTAAAGACATACAGCTCCCTATAACAGGCATTCTGAACCACATGGCAAGTCAAGCAACAACTGACAGACACTGAACCTCCAACAAAGCTGGTGTCCCCTTTTCTGGTGGCCAGCTTCCCAAACAGCTGCTCTGAGGTCTCCCCTTAAGGAACCTTCCCTTCTCCAGCCTGAACCAGCCCAGCTCTCTCAGCCTGGCTCCAGAGCAGAGGTGCTCCAGCCCTCAGAGCATCTCCGTGACCTCCACTTGTGCTGAGGGACCCAGAGGTGAACACAACACTGTAGATGGGGTCTCACGAGAGCAGAGTAGAGGAGCAGAACCCCTCCTTTGACCTGCTGGTCACACTTCATTTGATGCAGCCCAGCATACAATTGCCATGGCTGTAGCATCCCAAGGGTTAATGCCATTTAGGAAGGGATGCAGTGGAAACCCTTGGAGGACTTAGCTTCATAATTATAGTGTAAAACCCAAGCTGGGTGACAGCCAGCAGTGCAGCTAGCAGACACATCACTGCTGCCCCATGGGTCACCTATGGGCAAAATGTCTTTCTGCTTATGAATATGATAAAACGCAGGGCAGGCCTGAGGTCCTGGCTGTTCCCTGCCATTATAGCAGTGGGAAATAAAAAATAATAATAAATCACTACTTCTGAAGTGTTTTCTTGACCCACACTAGAGCCTCTGCTTTTAATGTTTATTCATTGACTGAAAAGAAGCACTGAACAAAGAAATCCTGCCTTAAAGAAAAGAGATTTTTGCAGTGGTTCTGGGTAGCTGGTGGTTTGACTCTTTCAGAGTTCACTTCTGGGGAAGATAGGGTGGGCTAACCTAGAAGGAGGACAGAAATACTGTGACCCCCATCTCAAGAGCTGCTGGTGCTGATCTGGCGGTGGAAGCAGCCTTTGAGCTGCCTCTGTGTCCACCACTCAGTCCAGTGGGACCCCCAGGTCTGTGGGTACCCCCAAACCAGTGCTGGGGGGCACTGCCAGGAGGGTCATAGAATCATGGCATCAGCTCGGTTGGAAAAGACCTTTAAGATCATCAGGTCCAACCCTTACCCCAGCACTGCCAAGGCCACCACTAACCCATGGCACTGAGGGCCTTGTCTGCACGCTGTGTGAATGCTTCGAGGGACGGTGACTCCAGCCCTGCCCTGGGCAGCCTGTTCCAGTGCCTGAGCACCCTCTGGGGAAGAAATTGTTTCTAATCTCCAGTCTTAACCTCCCATGAAGCAGCTAGAGGCCGTTTCCTCTTGTCCCATCCCTTGTTCCTTGGTGGAAGGGACCAGACCCTCCTAGCTCCATCCTCCTGTCAGGCAGTTGGAGGCAGCCATCAGGTCCCCCCTGAGCCTTCTCTTCTCCAGACTGAACCCCTCAGGTCCCTCAGCCGCTCCCCATCACACTTGGGCTCCAGGTTCTTTACCAGCTCCACTGCCCTTCTCTGGCCCCGCTCCAGCCCCTCAATGTCTCTCTTGTAGTGAGGGGCCCAGAACTGAGCACAGGATTTGAGGCACAGCCTCACCAGTGCCCAGTGCAGGGGCACAGTCACTGCCCTGGCCCTGCTGCCGCACTGCTGCTGATACAGGCCGGGATGCTGTTAGCTTCTTGGCTGCCTGGGCACACGCTGCCGCCAGCCAGCACCCCCAGGTCCTTTTCCCATCACCATCTTTCCAGCCACAGTTCCCAGCCCTGGAGAGCGGCACCAGCGGGTGCCCGAGCTGCCGAGCGGCGCCACGCGCGGCCGATAGGTGGCGCCATTGTGCCGCGGGCGGTGCTGCGCGGGGCGGGACCGAGACACCCCCCTCCCAACCCCGCTGCAGGCAGCAGGCAGGGGCCGGCACCGGACCCGCATCCCGCTGGATGCAGTGAGGTTTTCCTGTTCCCTCCTCCGAGACGCACTCAGACCCAAGATCCGGTGAGGCGCATCTGATCCTCGCCGCCTGTGATAGCTCTGCTTTGAAACCATCAACCCAAGCCCATCGCTCCTGAGGTGCAGTGAGGAACCCCCAAACGGGCATCACCGACCGAACCTTAGAATACCCAAGAGCCACCAAAGAACGGTTAAAGCCCGGCCCCCAGCAGTGCAGCCTTTCAGGCTGACCTTAAAGCTCCAATACCAAGAGGAGCGCAGAGGCTGTTCCCCTCAGTCAGTACACCCAGCACGAAGGAGCTTTAAGCACATTTTTTGCAAGAGCAGCATTTTGGGGTTTTCCCTTTACTGCAGCACAAAGGACCATAAACCTTTTCAGGCCAGGACCATGTGGATACAGAAGGCTCAGATGCCAGGTCAAGGCAGAGGTGGAGGGTACTGCCCCACCACGCTGCAGACAGGAGCATGCCATGCTCATCCCTCAAGCTGGTAAGGTGCACACCAGCTTGGCCAGGGCCACCTGTGCCTGCTGACTGGTGGCGAGTCCAGCTGTTCCCCAGCACTGCCACCACTGACCCATGTCACTGGGGGCCTCATCTACACAGTGTTTGAACACTTGCAGGGACAGTGATTCCAGCCCTGCCCTGGGCAGCCTGTCCCAATGCCTGAGCACCCTTTGGGGAAGGAACTGTTCCTAATATCCAGCCTAAACCTCCCCTGGTGCATCTTAAGGCTGTTTCCACTTGTCCTACAGCTTGATACTTGGGAGAAGAGACCAGCCACCTTGTCTCTCCATCCTCCTTTCAGGTAGCTGTAGAGAGGCATACTGGATGCTTGCATCCCTTCGTCCACTTCAAATAAAGCTCTGCGTGTTTGCACACATGTTGGGTGTGGTGCTCCGGGTGGTTTTGGGGTGCAGCTATCAGCAACCCTATCCCAGCAGTGCCTGGAGCTGGATTGCTGTGATAGCACAGTGCTACTGATCCGTGAGCTGGGACCTGCACGTTCGCACGGAGGACGAACAAGAAAGACCAGTAAATCATGTGTGGGTCATGCTGACAGCCTGTCCTACGCTCCCAGTATGTTCCCAGTTTGAGTGGGGAATAAAGACGACACCCACCTGCAACACAACACACCCGTGGCACACATCCGGGGGGGGTGGCTTTATATGGATCCACATTTAAAATAGAAACTAAAAAAAAAAAAAGAAAGGAAGATACTATTTCAAGAGGAGTTTCTGACATTGAGGTTTTAGTGGTGATCAGCAGCACCTCTACTCTGACCACGAAGGGAAAGGTCTTGCCACCAACCTCAGTGTCTGCTTCAGAGAATCACAGAAACCTGGAATGGTTTGGGTTGGAAGGGACCTTAAAGCTCATCCAGTTCCAGCCCCCAGCAACAGGCAGGCACCCCTTCCACTAGAGCAGCTTGCTCCAAGCCCCTGTGTCCAGCCTGGCCTTGAGCACTGCCAGGGATGGGGCAGCCACAGCTTCTCTGGGCACCCTGTGCCAGCACCTCAGCACCCTCACAGGGGAGAGCTTATTCCTAATGTCCCATCTCAGTCTCCCCTCTGTCAGGTTAAAGCCATTCCCCCTTGTTCTTTCCCTACAGGCCCTTGTCCGAAGTCCCTCTCCAGGTTTCTTGTACCCCCGTTAGGCACTGAAAGCTGCTCTAGGGTCTCCCTGGCACCTTCTCTTCCCCAGGCTGAAAAAGCCCAACTCTCCCAGCCTGTCTTCACAAGAGACATGCTCCTATGAAAGAGAAAGCAGCAGGAGAGCTGGCAGTGGGGAAGCTGCAGGCTGATGTGAGAGCTTCCTCCTGACCCACCACCACTGGAGCTGACCTGAGTAAATGCTCCAACATTTACCTTTGCCAGTGTTGGTCTTACACCTGCCAGGCTCTTCCCAGCTCTGCAAAGGCTGCAGCTGTAGCACAGAGCGCTGCTGTGCTCCACGTGCAGAGAGCACTGCTGCAGTCAGGGATGGATGCACTGCTCTGCCTGCCACCCTGAGAAACAGCAAGAGCCTCCCTACAATCCCTGTCCTCAGTCAGAAACCCTCTCTCCAGCTCATTTCTGCCACCTCTGATGTGACTGAACTGGAGCGATGCAGTCCAAGCAGGCAGCACACTGCCCCTGGCATGGCACGTTTTACACCAGAACAAGAGCTGGCTGCATGGGGCAGCGTTCCCAGTTCTGTGCCTGCTTGGGTCCTTTCCCAGCCTTACTCAAACTGCCTGCTTTGTGGCAGTACTGAGAGTGGTAAACTTAAGAGCTGTAGCATGCCAAGGCAGATACAGGGTTATTTCTACTCCTTGGCTTCCCAATGCCATGCACACACCGCTTTACGAAATCCATGAAAAAATGGCTGCTTCAAAATAAACTATATCCATCACTGGCCCTAAAGATGACACACGATGAAATGCCCTTACCAAACAGATCCTCACATTTCAGCCCAGGAGAGCATCCAAGTGCACAGCAAAGCCAAGACAAACACAGCACTGCTCTCTCTCTCCTGGAAAGGAACGTGGTTTGAAAATCCCCACTGTTGGCCTATCCCAGAAAGTGATTCATCCTCCCCACGGGATCTGGACTTGCCTCCGCATGTTTCGCAACGCTGCCTGGCTTTATAACAGCCTGGTTGCATGTGGTGGCTCCTCACTGGTTTCTCCGCTCACCTTTGAGTGAGGAGGCAGCAGCTCATCCTCCTCACGATGATTTTCCTCCTGCAGCATCTCTTCTTGCTGGCCACAGACTTACTGCTCGCCACGACCCTTTCCTGCCTCTTCTATGGCTTCGTATGCATTTCTGTTGCAACTTTGGCCTGCTTCATTATCCTCTTCTCCTTTGGCATTGTGGAGAGGAATACTGATGTGAAAGGGAGAGCAATCGTCATTCTCGTGTCCAACAGCTCCATTGGGAGGATGTTTGCAAGGAACCTGAATAAAGCAGGTTTCAGGGTGTCTGCTGCACACTGGCCTCCTCGAGAGAAGGGGACAGCTATGGAAGAAGAGTGCTCCTCAAGCATTGAGGTAGCCCAGCTCCACATGACTGAAGATGAGTATCAGAAGACAATGAAAACCTTCATAGAAAGCCACTTATCCCTGAAAGGTAATTTTTAGGGCAAACTTGTGGATTTTGCCTACGGTAGATATCAAAATGCACGAGACTGTGAGGTGGTTGTAGTTCATCAGCAAATGCTTTAGAAAACGGGTTATAACACTCTAAGTGCATTGCTATTCTTAGTGCCAAACAAAAAAAATGTTGCTTTTTCCAGGGGAAAGAGCCTGCTCTGGTGACTGTGCAAGGCCCCAATAGACCCCAGTCCCTGAAGGAAGGCAAGACAGGTCAAGGAATGAGGGGGAGAAGGTCCCACCAAGGCACCTGGGGAGAAAACAGACATGAACAAGGGGGAGTGGACACTTGGACAGTGACCTGAGAGGAAAGAATGTGTCTGATTTTAACTTCTTCTGGATTAAAATACCTGAGCTCCCTCTTGTCTTCTTGCCTGCTGTGGGATTCCTAAGAGCAGTCAGGTTGGAGCTTTGGCTGGCAGGTTGGGATAGGGTCCCTGGACCACACTGTGGGGCCATGGGACTGTACACAGCCTGCAGCTCACCTGGACAGAATGAGGCAAGTGATGTCTTAAAGTGGATGGCTGCAAGCACTGCTTCTAGGGAGTCTCTCCAGTGCTGTGAGATGAGGGGTGCCAACGGGCAGGCTGGTTTACACCCCAGCTGAATTAGCTCTGCTGTGCAGAAGTCTCTGTCCTTACAGCGTATTTGGAGTGACAGAAGACTCAGCCTCAGCTGTCTGGGCTGTAACCTCACTGCCTGCAGGGCAGCAGGAACGCTCTCCTCCACTGTGAACCTACCTAAGGCATGTCTCAGCAGCAAAGCTCTCTCACTGCTTCACCACGCTGCCACCTTCCTTCTCCAGCTTCTCTGTCCCTCTCCTCCTTGTTCTTCTCTCTGTGGTTTCACTGAGCCTCCCTTTGAGGTCTCCCCAGGCAAGCTTCTGATTGCTCGCACTGAGCTGAGATCTGAGAGCATCCACATCTCACCGCAACAGATAAGCCCCTTGGCATTGCTGCCCAGCGCTGAAGGTTTGTCTCTGTGCTCCCAGGATCTGCAGAGGAAGGACATTTTGGAAGTCACAGCATGCACCTTGAAGCCTCCCCTACTGCAGACATCCTTCAGAGGAGTGGTAGGGAACCCCAGCCAATACCTGCTGCTAGCTGCAGCTATTCAGGACCCCATGGCACAGGTTATCTCACATTGCTTTTCTCCTCAGAAGCATCCAAAAGACCAGAAGTACCTGTGGTCAGCTCCTGTGAGACTCTGCATGGCCCACGATACAGCCCCTCCATTCACTAGCAGCCCAGAGGCTCCAGGAACGGGTGCCCTGCACACTGACAGAGGGGTGCAGATCAAACGCTCCATTGCCTCCATCAGCATTTAGGCTGATTCGCACTAGTACAGTTACTCTGGTAAAGACAAGACCTAAAAGTTCACAAAGCTCTGAGCCAGCATATTCCTGCTCCAGAAATGAACAACGCAGACTTTCTTAACCAGCAGTGCTCTGTGGGAGCTGGTGATTTCCATGGGCCTTTGCTGTTGTAATTAAATGAGGATCTACCCCAGTGATATCTGCCTTTTTTTCCTTTTGAATACCTCTGCTATTTAAGGGTTTTTAACAGAATCATACAAGGGTTTGGGTTGGAAGGGACCTTAAAGCTCATCCAGTTCCAACCCCCTGCCATGGGCAGGGACACCTTCCACTAGAGCAGGTTGCTCCAAGCCCCGTCCAGCTTGGCCTGACAGGGTACTCCACTGTAGGATCCATGAGGTTTTACATTTAGGATCTCCTGCATAGTATTCAAATCACAGATGGGGATATTGAAATGCATTTCCCAAGTGCTGACCCAATTGCATGGCAGATCAAAGCACTGTGTGTGGGTAGGGGGGAGAAAAAGAAACCTCACAGTTTTCTTGCATTTCTCTGTTAACAGTTTCGTGTTAGTGCTGGTATTTATTCTGCAGGATTTCCTGTACTGCTTTTGGCAGGGGTGAGCACGATCACCTGCCACCAGCTGATTGATAATAGAATGATTTAAATAGATTGATAATAGAATGATTTAAACCAAATCAATAGACCACACTGGTAGGTTCCCCACATGCAACATGCAGTTTGGTCAGCAGGTTCTGGACAAGGAGAGAAGAGAGTTTGTGCTGTAGGAGCCTACACAGCACAGCGTATAGGAACCAGACATTATACAACTTTCTCCATTTAGAATCTCTCTTACGCACTTTATCCATATACAATTTTTTGTTTCCAAAGAAAGCAATTTTTGTGCTGGTTTTTTATGAAGATTTTTAATAACTTGCCCCCATAGCAAATTTTTACCATTATATCTTTGTTACTATAAGAAAAAAAGACTTGTTTGATATAAACACGGCTTTGAAATACATCCTAAATGCCTTTCAAAGTAACAGAGAGGAGTCAGAACTCCCTAGTCATGGCTCCCTCTAGAATTAAAAAACTGATGACAACTAAAGTCATTAATTTTTTATTCTAGTAGAGGCCCAGAGGCCCAAATTTTCAGGTAGGCCAATGCCTTTGTTTTGTGCTGGCAGTACAAATTAATAAGGTGCTATTATGTTTAAAGAGATTGTAATGCAAAGATACAGAGAAATGCAAGTCAGCCACCTTCCAAAGTCATAATATGCTTAACTTAGTTCATAAAAGTCTTGTGTTCCCCAGCTTTTAACTTGTGGTGTGTTCAGGTGTTTAAATGTTTGCTGTAACCAGGAGGTCAAAAAGACAGGAGGAAAAAGAGGACTCTTAATTGCTCACCTTGAGCTTGTATTATCAAACCCTGCAAGAGCTCTTGGCTCCGTGTCCGAGTGCTGCTTGAGAAACTGCTGTGTTGCTCTTTGGGCACCTTGCCTGGAAATGCTGGCAACTGCTTCAGGAGTTTCAGGATTGACTGCAGGGAGGGTGGGGCAGGACAAGGAGACAGAAAAACGTGGAGATGGGCAAGACCCAACAGACAGCAGCACCCTGACCTGACTCGGGCAGGGTTCAGCGTGCTGGGCTGACTGACTGCTGCAGGCTCTGCTGCCACAGTACCATGGGGTTCACCTCATCACAGACACAGGGCTAAGTGAAATCAGTGTTTACTGCACTGTGCCCAAAGACTGGCTGTCTCTGGCTTTGCCAAGAGCTGCAAGTCCCAACAAGCTGTCAAGTGACCCTGCCAGCCTGCACAGAGTTCAGTTTCCTGAACTAAACTGCCAGGACAAGACAGGATGGAGAAAGGGGATGTTTCACATCTAGCCTCAGCCTTTCTCGTGATTTAGACATTATTTAAACCGTGTTTCTTCTTTAGCTGCACTCAAAACACTTCCAGTGTCTTCAGAGATCCTGTCTTCTCCTTTTGGTGTCTTTAATGTCCCTCAGGTCCTTCTGCACAGCAGGCTGAGCTCTGTCAAACTTCACGTGTGTAGATCACCAGTGAAGGGCACAGAGCAATAACAGTGGCAGAGCACTTGGAGGACCTGCCACCCTTTCCTTCCCTCACTCCAGGGACCAAAGTTGGTTTCCCACTTCCTTGGCACTTTTCTCTCCCACTCCTCATAGTATTCATCACTCATCCCAGTTGTTTCCACCTACTTTATCTTTCCTTGTTTTTCTTCCATTCCTCTGTAATGCCTCATGTTTCTGCAGGGGAGATGACACACTGGTGTGAGCAATGCCTCTGGCTCCACAGCACAGCCTCTCGCTGCTCATGCAGATGAAGTTGCTCACAAGAGTCCTGCTGATCTTCATAGGGTCAGGTTTTCATTTCTTGTACCTGAAACTCAGCTAAGACATGGCCACTGCTGCATTCTTTGGTACATTTAACAGCTTCCCTCTGTCCCTATCTGCTACATAGGAAGGGCAAAACCTCTTCCACAAGCAGGGAAATAACTGATGCAAGTTAATAACATTAATTCATAAATTAGGTCCCGTATTTGGAAGACTCTTTCTCACCCTGCACTTCACCTCGGTGCTCCAAAGCAATGGGAAGTGCTTGTTTCTGAATGTTGTTCTCCAAAGGCCCCTGCAGGCATCTAGACCAGTGGGAGGCAACAGGCTGTCATCCTCAGCCATCTGTTCTCATACCCACAGTGCTGCAGCCAGACTGGCTCACTTCTGAAGTTAGTCCAAGCAAGATCACCTGGATCATCTGATCTATTTAAATAGGCAGGTTTAGTTAATCCAGGTGATCACTGTCTTCTATACATCACAGGACACTCATGCATGCTCTTCACTGAAGAGAGCTGTGAGGGCAGCCACACCAGCAGTGCAAGTAGAGCTAATCCTGGGCAGGGAGAGGTGTCCAGAGCTGCATCTCTTTGCTCAGGGCTGGGTACTGAGGTGCTGGCAGAACTACACAGAGCATTGAAGAATCAAGGCTTCTTCTGAGCAGCCCCATGGCTTCTTGGACAGCTTCCACCTCTTGTAAAGGTCCAGCTGGTTTGGCAGTTGTGTTCTGCCTTTGGTAGCAGTGGGAGATGCTCTCCTGGTACTGGCACTTGCCTTGCGCCTCTCCTTCAGCATCCACTTTAGTCAGTCACACAGTTTAATCCATGGAGGCTCTCTTGTGACAGAGATACAGAAAGCCAGATCCTTGTGGTGGGCCTGAACAGAAGACAGAGATACTTGAACTGCTCCCTTGTGTGGTGGGCACGCTGCAGAAATTCTTTTGTCAATGCAGTTGATCAAATGGGTTTATTAGAAAGTAGCCTTTCCTCATTATCTTTTCCATGCTACATTTTCCTTAAGATGAGAGGCTAGGCCCTTCATCTTTCCTAAACCTCACCATAGAGGGCAAGTTCATCTTTCATTGGCCAAAGTATAGCTTACTGCATGAGCAAGGAAGAGTCACAACAACCTGCCATTCCCGCTCACTTCAGAGATGGATTGGACAGACGGGATAATCACTGACTGCAGTGAACTACAAGGGAGTAGGAATTATGAATGAACAGAGGACATGAAATCATATACTCATGCAATTTTAAGCAGTGCTGCATTATTTAACTTCACCCAGCTACAACAACTGTAGA